ATTTGCTCAGGATAGAGTGAAAACTTCTGAACTAGTCAAAAGAGGCTGAAATACACTGGATGGCATATGGTTGACAATGGATGGAGTACTGGGCCATGCTTGGCATATTTAAGAATTGGACCCCCTTAGGGACACACAGTACTCACCACACCAACCCCCCCGGATAAATACACACCACAAGTCCCGTTCATAGGTCATTTTTTATCTTTTATTGAAGGATATCATGCAGGAGTTATTGTACAAATTATACCAGATTGCTGCTCATTTGAAATATTGCTCACTTTTGGAGGTTGCTGAAACAACATTTGCAAATATTTGTGTTTAGACTGCTGAACTTCTACTATTTTCCTTGGTCCAATGGCTAACTGCGGTTTCACCACTTGCCTTAGTCTGGTGGTTAAGTCTTCCATAAGATTCTAGACAATTACACCAATATTTATACATCTACTTTTAATGTTCGGATCATTTCTGCTTATATTAGACTAGTCTAGAGTTCAGTCCATGCCTACAAATCGAGTTACAGAAGCACTAACTGCACCCTACTTCCTAGCCACTGAAATAAATTCTCATGACCTTCCGGCTTCCACAACAATACTGTACATATAATGCTGCCATGAGGAGTCCAGTATCCTGATTATTGAGTGAAAGCAGATAGAATGGCAAATGGAAGATCAAGATCCAGATCAAACTTGGATGGTTGCATTAATATTAACAACAAACGTTTAAGAGTAAGAAAATGCATTTCATAGAAACTTTCTACGGAAAAGTATAGCAGTATCAAGTGCTCTGCCGAGAATTTTCTATGCACAGACAACAACGTCACAAGGAAAATTAGGCAAAGGTTGACAAGACTAACCGCCTTTGTAAACTCAATCCTAAGTGGATTGCCAGCAACAGCATAGCCTTGGAGATGTCTTATAGCAGCAAAAGCCCCTTCCTCGTCTCTAAAATTAATGAAAGCATAGCTTCGACCTGGTTGAAATGCCACACTTTCCAGGTCTCCGAAACGTAAGAAGTGATCGGCCAATGTACTTTCCGAAAGACTATGAGATAGATTTCCAACCCAAAGATGTCTGGAAGGGGGGTTTTCGCGACCATGATGACTCTTCTCTTCAGATCTTGGAGGATGATCCCTGCGATATCTATCTCTCCCTCCTCTGCCAGTCTGCAAAAGAACCATGTAAAATTTATAAAATGTTTAATTGAATCGTACCAGTCTCTACTGGGGGTTATTACTCATTTTTGTACTTGTTTTTTTATTTTCCAATAATTTCTTCAATTAACAAAACGAAAGAGAATAAATAAGATTCTCTTAGCTCATTCGGAAGGATCTCATAATTTCATTATCCATGACTGTTTATGTCTCTAGCATGACCACTTGATGAAATCTGGAGGGAAGTGGGGTAAATGGCCGATACTACTGGAAGGATTCCTCTTTGGATAATAGGTACTGTAGCTGGTATTCTTGTAATCGGTTTAATAGGTATTTTCTTTTATGGTTCATATTCCGGATTGGGTTCATCCCTNACCACTTGATGAAATCTGGAGTAAGCCAAATTTCATGGAAAAGAAAAATTCTTTTATGACAGTGGTGTCCATGCCACCTTGCGCACACCTCGACTATTTCACCGGGTACCTGCTACCTCCTACAAGCACATGTAGGAGGTAACTATGCCTACCAGCAGATATGAGGAAATCACCTACCAAATATTATCGTAATGAAAGGGGCACAAATTGAACTGAATGGATACCGAAGATTCATGGAACCAACCGCAACTACCTTGGGGTCAAGGCTTACTTGTTTTATTAAATAACATGTAACACATACCCAGGCAGCCTGGTGCACAAAGCATCCCGAGTTCGGAAGCACAAAAGAAATTGTACTAATAGTAATTCAACAAAACATACAAAAGCCCTAATGAACTAATGACAATGCTTAAACTAACTTGAATTAGCAAATTCAGCAAGGAAACAAAAAATAATTCAACTCTATACACCAAAACAAACAAAAGCACAAATAAACTAATGGCAATGCTCAAATAAAACAAAGTACATAATAATATCAACTACGTAGGGTAACTGAAATAGAAAAGTTTTCAGAGAAGAAATTTACCGACATATGTAGATTGGAACAAACTGAGGAATTGCAGTTTACGGCATAAACTCTTGTAAGAGAGAACACAAAGGGAGTGAGTGGATTAGGGTTTGAGCAATATGGGATAAATCACCGGCGAATCGAATTGGACCAAATATCAGAAGATAGGTGGGTCGTGGTACGTGGCCCCCTTTTTGAGCAAATGTTATTCCATCACATTATTTTACTATAGTTAAATGATATATTAAAGTTAAATATACTAACTAAAAGTTTTGATAAATTGTTGAATTAAAGTATTTATAAAATTAATATATTGATTTGAAGTACATTTTTTCCCTTTCTCGGGTTCCGTGTTTTGAGTACAAATTGCAACATTTGTATTTTGATGTAAATATAGCTATATAGTTTGTAAAAACAAAAATTAATGTAACATGTTTAAAATGCATTAAAGTATATTTTTTTAAACTAAAATATCTTTAAAAATGCTTGCAAAAGCGTAATAATGATGCTTGGCTCTTCGTATGGTGAATAAATCGAGAGGATGAAAAATGTACTCTTGTAATTTATTTAGTTGTATTTAGTTAAATAAAACTTAAGAAATAAATGAATATATTTTACATAATTTTACCAAAAAGTGACCATTGTACCCAAAAAATTGGTAAGTATTTCTACATGTGTTATGTAGAATTTATATTATCCAAATCCCATTGCAAAAAAAAAAAAAAAAAAAAAAGCAATCATGCCATATGATTTTTGGTAGAATAAGCATGCGTACATGTACATGATACATCCAAATAGTTAATGCAATACTATAAGTTTGGATTTGACTTAGGAAATTACATTTCAAACATGTCACAAACAATAAAATTTGTTTTGTTTTCTTTCTCTCTTTCTTAACTTACTTAAACCACATGTGGTAAGACATTTTGGCTAGCTAATAAAGCCAAAATTAAAAGAATGGTTATTTAACTAGAGATATTTATGTTTTTAAAAAAATTGAGCTTAAAATGTTATGGGCAAATCACAAAGAAACAAATGCACTCGAAACTTTCACGCATCTAGAATATTTTTGTGCATCAAAAGTTTAAAAAGGATATTAAACAAAAAATATACACACACTCGAGTCATCAAAACCTCATTGTCTTTCAAGTATAAAAAGTAAATTGTAAACCCCTATATGTATGTAATACTAGACAAAATTCGTATGGGCAAACTCGATAGTAGACGAAAATTATCCAATTGCCTCATAATATACGGTATATGTTTTCGACATGTCTTTAAGAATTTATATAATACACTCAGCCTTTCCATGAGTCTATGAATAGAAATTTGTGTTGAGATCCACTCAAGTGTTCAAAACATCTTGGGTCTTTCAGAAATGAGAAGTGAATCGCGGACCATAATATAAAATAGTAAACACTTCATATAACAAAATTCTCATTTACGTATAACTCGCCAAACTAAGTTTAGGATAAGTCCTCTTGATTGGGATAAAATCCTTTATTTAGTCCATCAATCTATTGGTAATCTTATGACGAAATTCACAGTGACTCACTCTCATTTCCATCATAGTACTTCTATCAGATAAGCAAACCTCTTGGTCTTTAGTTTTCTATTTTAACTTGCTCACAAGTCAAGAATCTAGATACAAAGTTTATACTTTATACCATCTTTCATTAATAAATATATTTGAAGTTCACAAATAATAATAATAATCGTCCACAAACCACTTGACCATGTTAAACTTAGTCTAGACTAAGTATGGAGCATAATGTGCTAAGCACATGAATAATATGGACGTCCCTCTATGCTTAATTGTCTACCCAACTAATAGGTTGAACTCCCTTTTCCCTATTGATCGAGACCTTTGGCACATTTCTAAATATGACATTTGTTCTCTCCCAACCTTGAAAAAGATATTCTAGGCGAAAGGAAAAGACACCTCAACCTCCTCTAATTGAATCTCATGAGCTTCTTAATATCTCTAGCTTGTGCCTTTGCTTCAACCAACTCTATGAGATTTCTAACTAGTACGATAAAGTATCTAAAGTGCATAAGATATAATTTATACATTCACTCCCATGAAGTAAATAATGAAAAACTTAGTAATAAGTTGAATGCTATTTATTTTTGGTTTGATTACAGGCTCTTTCTCAAATTGTGTAAAAGAAAACGTGAGGAGTGGGTCTACTGAGTAGAGCTGTCAATATGGGCTGGGCCGGGTTAGTCTAGCCCAGCCCACGTGAACTTTAGCAATTGACAGACTAGGTTGGGTTAGCCCACCATTTTGATGGGCCTTATAATGGTCAGCCCATTCCAGCCTTATGTGGGTTGCGGGTCCCCACAGGCCGGTTTATCATTTTAAAATATAATTTTATATTTTTTCTTTAAGTTCTAACCTATAAAAAGATAAATATTTAAAAGTTAATAAATATCTTATTGAATTTTTTTTGCAAAACTTAATAACTTTTTATTTTGTTCTAATATATCACAATAAATACACACAAAAAAGTAAAAGACAAGACTATATTTCATTCACTAAAATTCAAAACTCAAAACAAACTATTCAAGAGAGCGTCCATGACGCTTATGAGATATCCAATACATCATCTTCATCAAACACATTTGAATCCGCTTGTGACAAAGTTGTTTTAACATCTTCACTTTTATCTACATCTACAGTTCATATGATATATTAATTAGTTAATATTAAGAATGATTAAATTTTAAAAACTAATAATATTCAAATGCATATAAAAAAAAATATTACCAGTTTGAGTTTGGGAAAAATCGTGGACCCAATTTCGAGTAGTAACAAGTATTTGGACATTTTCATGATGGATGCAACTTATGTACTTTGTCAAAATATGCCCACCAATGCTAAATGTTGATTCCGATGCCACAGTGGTAATAGGAATACTAAGTACACCATGCACCATCACTGAAAGATCAGGATATTTCCTAGAATGGTCCTTTCAATACATGACAACATCCATCTCTTGGAACTTCTCAAGATCACGCTTTGGTTCCTCTAAGTAAAGATTCAATTCTGACTTTCCATCATTGAAGGCAGTATACTTTTTATATTTTCTATATTTTAAATAAATATTTTTATTAGGCCCATGGGCCGGCCCAGCCTCAACCAAGCCTCCCGGGCCACAGGCTTACTCAGGTCGGACTTAAAAGCCTCGTTTTAAATGGGCTTCAAAAACTCTAGCACAACCATGCTAAATTACGGGCTGGATTGGGCTGGCCCAATGGGCCAAGCCTATATTGACAGCTCTGCTAATGACTCAATGAATATATAACAACACTGTGAGAGATTGAATCGGAATAGGTTACAATATTGGAGAACGAGAGTATTTATAGGATTATCTAGTTGTAACTGTTTCCTAATACTGTGCTCGCCCGTTACGAGTGTTATTAGCATATCTCGTATGTTACGCCTAATGAATTTATAACCTAGTTATCTTAGAGTTTATTGGTATGAGGGAGTTATCTACCTGATTTTCGGTGGCTATCTGAATGGCCTACTCTGATATTGTACTATCCGATATAGGTGGGGAGAATTTAGGATGAACTTCTCGAATGATTCTTCGGTTTTGACTAGATGAATTCAGTTGATCTGGAATGGCCTAGAAGATCCTAGTATGTGTGCCACGTGTTGATTCTTGTATTAGCCACGTATTTAATTTTTTTTTGTCAATACAAATAATTTCCAACTTTTTGGATAATTTTCAGGAGTTATCCATGAAGTGGAAATATTTAGGTGAGGAATGAATCGTCTATGGTACCATTATTCTTGAATCTAAATTAGCAGAACTCTTTTCAAACTTGTATACGATTAAAATCGGGCCCACCCGATTTTACTATTTGACCGAGACCGGGAGTTTGCATCGAAAGACGACTCCGAAGTAGATCGGATCGAGGCACGAAGACAAGGTACCGAGATCGGGATTCGAGGCACCTGCCAAGATCGAGGCCGACAGTAATTGAGACTGAACGAGATAAACATCGAGCAATTCCGAAGATTGCATAATAACGAAAAAGCGAGATATCCACGACCGGTCGAAGATCATGGCGAAAATTTCGGAAAGAATCGAATCAAGAACGGTTGTTTAATTAATCATGGGATTTACTTCTGTAATTAGAATTGTACCATATATAGAATTTCTCTACTATATAAAGGGGAGTTCTAACCATTTGTAGGCACGACTGATAACAAAGCAATATAATTTTCTTCCTCGCTCACACTCTTGTTCTTCAGCTTATTGTGTTTTTATTGTCCTTGCATCAATCAGTTCGAGTATACTTTAACTCAAGGGTTGAGTTCTACTCAAATACTGGTTTGATTTACTTTATTATATAATTTTATCTTTAATCTTCATATTTATCAATCGGTATTAAGTGAAATCACGTGTCCTTAAATCCACATTATAAGTTTAATTATTATCCAATTTTGAGGATAAACAGTTTGGCGCCCATAGTGAGGCTAAGGATAATAGTGATTGCTTAATATTGATTCCGATAACCCACTACTTTACGCTTATTCTTGTAAGTGTTTTTGTTTTCAGGAAAAAGCATCTCAAACTCACAAACAACGCACACACATGGTAACAACGGTTTCAGATTTCACGGGAAAAACGACAATATAGTCGCCCCAGAAATCGAGGTGCCTCAAGCAGATCTCGAGGGAGTACCAATTGTAAACCCCATCGACGTCAGCTCACATATCGCCCTAAATACAAATTTGGGCGTTGATCCCGAAGGTAGCATACGCAGGGAAGGTCGATCTGGTGGTCGAAGTACGCAGTGCGGAGGAGATAGTGGAGTTAGCCTCTAATTGATATTTGAAATGTTACAGGCTCAACAAGTCGCTATAGCATAATTACAAAATCAACATCAAGCGCCGAGTGGGGTAGAACCAGAAGTCGTCCACAAGACCAAGCCAGTGCCGGAAAGGTCAAATGCCAATTAATCGGGGACTGACCCCATCATTATGAAAATTTTCGAGGATCTCACTAAACAAATTGAAATGGGAGAAAAGAAAATTGAGGCAAATGATAAGAAAGTAGAGACATATAACTTCCGGGTTGATCAAATACCGGGGGCACCGCCAATTTTAAAAGGTATGGACTCGAAGAAGTTCGTGTAGAAGCCCTTCCCCCCAAGTGCGGCTCCGAAGCCCATTCCGAAGAAATTTCGCATGCCAGAAATCCCCAAGTACAATGGGACCACCGATCCAAATGAGCATGTCACCTCCTATACATGTGCGATAAAAGGAAATGATTTAGAAGATGATGAGATCGAATCGGTTCTACTAAAGAAGTTTGGAGAAACGCTATCGAAGGGGGCAATGATATGGTATCACAATCTGCCGCCTAATTCCATCGATTCCTTCGCCATGCTTGCAGACTCTTTCGTAAAAGCACACACCGGAGCAATAAAGATTGCGACTAGGAAGTCGGACCTCTTCAAGGTAAAACAGAAAGATAACGAAATGTTAAGGGAGTTCATATCTCGGTTTCAGATGGAACGTATGGAACTACCACCAGTCACAGACGATTGGGCTGTTCAAGCTTTTACTCAAGGTTTGAACGATTGAAGTTAGGTGGCCTCACGATAGCTAAAGCAGAATTTAATTAAATACCCAGCAGTAATTTGGGCCGATGTACATAATCGACACCAGTCAAAGATCAGGGTTGAGGATGATCAATTAGGAACTCCTTCCGGTTCGCCTATCCGATCAGGCCCGTTGGAAGAACTCAGAGAGATATCGACAAAGAACCTCAGTCAAACAGAGATCGATATCAGCCATACAATGCATATCGTAGAAATAGCGGCCCGGGACGCAATCCCATCCAAAATGATCGAAGGAACGATCAAGGACAGAGCTCTCGAGGGCTCATGACCAAAAACGGTTTCGATAAACGCGCTGATCCCACAGAGGCACCACGATTATCAGAATATAACTTCAACATCGACGCGTCAGGTATTATGTCAGTTATTGGGAGAATCAAAGATACTAGATGGCCCAGGCCCCTATAGACTGATCCATCCCAAAGGAACCCCAATCAAATATGTAAATATCATGGTATGCATGGTCACATAACCGAAAACTGAAAACAACTAAGGGAGGAGGTGGCCCGTCTATTCAACGAGGGTCACCTTCGAGAGTTTTTGAGCGACCGAGCTAAAAATCATTTTAGAGACAGGGATGCAGACAGAAAAAATGAGCAGGAAGAACCACATCACGTAATTCACATGATCGTTGGTGGGATCGATATCCCATAAGGTCCTATTCTCAAATGCACTAAGATATCGATCACCAGGGAAAAACAAACTCGAGACTATACACCAGAAGTCACTTTATCATTCAACGATGAGGAAGTAGAAGGAATTTCACAACCCCACAACGATGCATTGGTAATCTCTATCCTTGTGAATAAAATTTAGGTTAAACGTGTTTTAATTAATCCAGGAAGCTCGGCCAATATTATTCGATCGAGGGTTGTGGAGCAGCTCAGCCTATAAGACCAGATCGTGCTCGCAACTCGAGTTCTCAATGGTTTCAACATGGCAAGTGAAATGACTAAAGGAGAAATCATTTTACCAGTAAATATAGCTGGGACTATTCAAGAAACCAAGTTCCACGTGATCGAAGGCGACATGAAATACAACGCCCTGTTGGGAAGACCCTGGATTCACAATATGAGGGCAGTTCCTTCAACACTTCACCAAATGCTGAAGTTCCCAACACCGGATGGAATAAAAATGGTATACGGGGAATAACACGCTACCAAAGAGATATTCGCAGTCGACGAAGTGATACCGGTGTTGGCACTTTCGTCAACAAAAAGATCAGAATCCAAAGAAAAACAGGAAGCTAAATAACAACCACAACTACCAACCTCGACTCAATCGGAGGAGCAGGGAACGGACGAGGACAATTACTATTGGATCCCTCGATCCTTCATATTCCCCAAGGATTTCGACGCCACCAAATCGATGGCCGAGGAGGTGGAGCAGGTCGTACTGATCGGGCATCTACCCTATCGAAAGGTATACGTGGGAACGGGGTTAAACCCCGAGATCAGGGAAAAACTCGTTAAATCTCTTATCAATAATATGGATTGTTTTGCTTGGTCCCATTTAGATATGACAGGGATCCCGCCAGAAATCGCTAAACATCGACTGAGCTTGGACCCGAAGTTCCACCCAGTAAAACAAAAGAGAAGACCCCAGTCCGAGGTAAAACACGCATTCATCAAGGACGAGGTAACCAAACTTCTCAAGATAGGATCCATTCGGGAGGTAAAATATCCCGAATGGTTAGCAAATGTAGTCGTAGTCCCTAAAAAGGGAAATAAACTTAGGATGTGCATAGATTATAAAGATTTGAACAAAGCATGTCCTAAAGACTCTTTTCCTCTGTCGAATATCGATCGCATGATCGATGCCACGACCGGCCACGAGATTCTTAGTTTTCTCGATGCCTACTCTGGGTACAATCAAATACAAATGAACCCAGAGGATCAGGAAAAGACTTTGTTCATCACTAAGTATGACACCTATTGTTATAATGTAATATCGTTTGGACTAAAAAATGTCGGTGCCACTTATCAACGCCTAGTAAATCGAATGTTCGAAGAACAAATAGGTAAGTCAATAAAAGTGTATATTGACGATATGCTAGTTAAGTCCCTGCGAGCAGAGGACCATTTGATACATTCGTAGGAGACCTTCAATATACTAAGGAAATACAACATAAAACTCAACCCGGAGAAGTGTGCATTCAAGGTCGGCTCTTGCAAGTTCCTCAGCTTTATGGTATCAAATCGGGGTATCGAAATCAACCCTGATAAGATCAAGGTGATCGAAGACATCACAGTCGTGGATAATGTTAAGGTCGTACAAAGATTAACAGGGCGCATAGCCTCCCTAGGCCGATTCATCTCAAAGTCTTCAGATAGAAGTCACAAGTTCTTCCCGCTGCTCAAAAAGAAGAATAATTTTGCATGGACCCCGGAATGCCAACAAGCATTGGAAGAGTTATAGCGGTACCTCTCGAGCCCGCCGCTGCTTCATACTCCAAAAGCAGGCGAGCAACTCTACCTTGCTCTTTGAGAAGAGCAAGGTACACAATTTCCTATTTACTAAGTTAGTCGAATTCTAGGTGAGGCCGAGACCCCGGTACCCACACTTAGAAAAGACTAATAAGCACCTCTAGAAAATTAAAACCATATTTTCAATGTCACCCAATTTGTGTAGTCACTTCTTATCCTCTTCGTAATATTTTGCATAAGCCCGAACTCT